CCGATCAATTAAGCCCATGGGTCCTCTCGAGACGCGAGAACTTCGAGCGCGCCACTCCTCAGGAATTCGTGGGTCGTATTCCGAAATCTCGTCCTCCAGCTTAATTGGCGAAGAAGTTCTCACTCAGCCCCTTCTCAGTTCTATCGATCGGATTTTCATACAGTCTGTGTTTGACTGAAATCTGCGCCGCGTGGCTCTGTTCGCGAACAACGAAATATCAATCTTGGATCCACCTAAATTTTTCGGATTATTGAAATTCGTCTAAATGAAGTTGGTGACGGCGCCGATATCAGAATGCCATCCTCACGGGAATGCAGGATCACCTCTCGATGCGCGGCTTTCCCGCGGCAGGCTGGAATGGTTAGACGCTCAATGAATGGATAGATGTAGAATAAATAGATAGATAGAATTGGAATCAGGGCTCGGATCACAGAGTTGAAATAATACCGAAAGGAGCCCATCATCTTGCCTCATGAGGCGACACAGGCCCGCTCGTAGGGTATCGGGACGAAGGCGGGCATACACTACATTATTCAGTATGACCTAGACCAGACCGAATCGATGAGCGGGATTCCCTAGGAGGGTTTGAGATAAGACGGACATCGCCTCTCGGGATGAAAAAAATTTTAGGTCCACGGCAATTGATTCCGCGGCGCCGCAGCGTCGTTGAAGGCTCAGATTACTTCATCGTAGAACCGCCGAGCGGGGAAGCGAGCATATCCACATCAAAATTCTCTGAGCTTGGATGTCTCATCCGCACAGCTAGGACTGAATCGGAGCTACCCAGAACCTCAGGCGAAGCTCATGATTCACGACGATGTAATCGAGGACATCGCCGACCTTATCGACTACTACCAACCCGAAGCGTCCCAGGTCAATTCTTCGGGAACTTCAGCAGCAGCCACGGCGCTCGAGAGGACCCCCTATGACCGGGTTCCGCCCGAACCTGCCCAGTCGGGAAGACGACATCAGGGGTTTTTTACACACGGGAAGTCTGCCGGCAGGTCTCGATCAAGAACAGGAGACTACGTCATCCGACGAATCTTCGACGACGGAGATCTCATCTCAGCAATCGCAGATCGTGGAAAACTCAATTCAGAGCGGTCAGCCGCTCAGCCAGTCCCGGCAACAGCCAACAGCTCAAGCAGTGGCTAGCACTCACAACATACTCCTGGCGGCACCTTTCTTTCTCGGCAGAAATGCCCGAGAAGCGCCGAAACTGAAAGTCACGGGCGATCCGAAAAAATTCCGGGAATGGCAACACTTATTTTCGGTATTCGTGGACCACAGACGCCGGATCCAACCATTGAGAAGTTGAATCTTCTCCGTAAATCGCTATCGGGGAAAGCGTTGGCTGCGATTGCCCACCTCCAATGGGAGGAAAGTCATTACTTGCTCGCGAAATCCATAATCGAGGAGTCATCCGGCGACAAAAAAGTCCCATCGGCCATTTTTTTTCTCAGAGTCAGAGATGGGCTGAATATTATT